AAAAAAAAAAAAAAAAAAAAAAGAAGCAGATTAATTTTACCTTGTGTAGCATGTGAGAAACTACTGCATAAGAACAATTACTTAGGCATGAGTCACACAGATTAAGAAAGTGACACTGGGATTATGTTTCAAAATGGTCAAGAATAAAGAGTGATTTCAAATAAATTATCACTCTGGACAAGTATGAAATGACTACTCTCTTACCATGAATCAAGAGTTCAGAATCCTTGTTTAGCTCATAAAGTCTAAAAGCTTCTTCTAACTCCAACTGAGATGACACTGTACACGGGTCTCCTAAAAAATACAAAAATAAAGTAAAGCTCACTTTAAAACCCCAAACGTGATGATCACTAAACAAATTTCATAATGTAAATTTTGTGAAAAAATAATCACATATTTATACACAGAAATATATGACAAGGACAAATATTTATTATTATTATTATTTTTTTTTGGAGAACAGAGTTTTGCTCTTGTTGTCTAGGCTGGAGTGCAGTGATGCGATTTTGGCTCACTGCAACCTCCGCCTCCCGGGTTCAAGCAATTCTCCTGCCTCAGCTTCCCAAGTAGCTGTAATTACAGGTGTGTGTCACCACACCCAGCTAATTTTTGAATTATTAGTAGAGACAGTGTTTCACCATGTTGTCCAGACTGGTCTCAAATTCCTGACTTTAGGTGATCTGCCTGCCTCAGCCTCCCAAAGTGCTGGGATATTTAGATATTTATTTAGACAATTCAATTTTCTGAAGTAGGTAACATATTTCTCTCTTTTTTTGGGGGGGGGTAACATATAACTTTCATTTATATTTGTATAAAAATACTACATGAGGTTCACAGACACCAAATTATATAGATGCTCACTACAGCCTCGACCTTCTGGGCTCAAGCAATCCTCCTGTCTGGGCCTCCCAAAGTGCTGGAATTACAGGCATGAGCCACCACATCTGGTCATTTTGTTCTTAACATTATATATATCCAAAATAAAGCATACAGAATCTATTCCTGACCACATTTTTTTTTAACAATTTTATTTTTTAGAAGGAGTTTTGCTCTTGTTGCCCAGGCTCCGCCTCCTGGGTTCAAGTGATTCTCCTGCCTCAGCCTCCTGAGTAGCCTTGACTACAGACATGCAGCACCACACCTGGCTACTGACCAAATTTTAAATTGTCACTGCTATGTGACTAATGGATATGGCCAAGAGCAGGCTTTCTGTTACCTGTTTCTTTAAAAGAGGAAGTGAAAGTAGTTCCATTGCCACAATATGATTAGTCAGAAGTCTCCATGTAATCATTTCATTAAATTTTTCCCTTCACACAACAAAGCCTCCTCAAAGGAGTCACAGAAAGGAAAAGCTACAAAAGTACTGAAGAACAGTCCCACTTGAGCTGCTATGAAATGTAAATGAACAGTTTTAGTAACATACACACAGAGAAGGGAAGGAAGAAACACCTCCCTTACCCAACTAGCCAGACAACTGAGTCATCCCTGGCAATCAATGAAGTGGCACATCTGCCTGGACAATGGCATTCCTCCATGAAAAAGTCATTCAAGCCAGGTGTGGTGGCACATGCCTGTAATCCCAACACGCCTGTAATCTCAACACTTTGGGAGGCCATGGTAGGCAGATCACTTGAGGTCAGGAGTTTCAGAAAAGCCTAGCCAGGCTGGGCGCGGTGGCTCAAGCCTGTAATCCCTGCACTTTGGGAGGCCGAGGCAGGTGGATCACAAGGTCAAGAGATCCAGACCATCCTGGTCAACATGGTGAAACCCCGTCTCTACTAAAAATACGAAAAATTAGCTGGGCATGGTGGCGCGTGCCTGTAATCCCAGCTACTCAGGAGGCTGAGGCAGGAGAATTGCCTGAACCCAGGAGGCGGAGGTTGCGGTGAGCCGAGATCGCGCCATTGCACTCCAGCCTGGGTGACATGAGTGAAACTCCGTCTCAAAAAAAAAAAAAAAAAAAAAAAAAAAAAGAAAAGCCTAGCCGACATAGTGAAACTCCATCTCTACTAAAAATACAAAAATTAGCTAGGCGCAGTGGTGTGTGCCTTAGTCCCAGCAACTCGGGAGGCTGAGGCAGGAGAATCACTTGAACCCAGGAGGCAGAGTTGGAGCATGCTGCAGAAATTCAAAGGATCATTAGAGGCTACTGTGAGCAACTAAATGGCAACAAATTGGAAAGCCTGGAAAAAAACGGATAAACTCCTAGACATATACAACCTACCAAAATTGAATCATGAAGAAATCCAATGCCTCACTAGACTAACAAGTAATGAGATCAAAGCCATAATAAAAAATTTCTCAGCAAAGAAAAGCCTGGGACCCAATGGCTTCAGTACCATTTAAAGAAAAACTAATACCAATCCTACTCAAACTATTCCAAAATACGGAGACGGAGGAGGGAATACTTCCAAACTCATTCTAAGACATCGGTATTACCCTAATACTAAAACCAAACAGGTAAGTCAAAAAAAGAAAACTACAGGTCAATATCTCTGATGAACATTGATGCAAAATCCTCAACAAAACACTAGCAAACTGAATTTAACAATACATTAAAAAGATCATTCATCATTACCAACTAGGATTTGTTCCAGGGATGCAAGGATGGTTCAACACATGCAAATCAATCAGTGTGATACATCACATTGACAAAACAGAATAAAGGACAAAAACCATACGATCATTTCTATTGATGCTTAAAAAAGCATTTGGTAGGGCCAGGTGCAGTGGCTCAAGCCTGTAATCCCAGCACTTTGGGAGGGTGAGGCAGGTGGATCACAAGGTCAAGAGATTGAGACCATCCTGGTCAACATGGTGAAACCCCGTCTCTACTAAAACTACAAAAAAATTAGCTGGGCATGGTGGCGCGTGTCTGTAGTCCCAGCTACTCAGGAGGCTGAGGCAGGAGAATTGCCTGAACTCAGGAGGCGGAGGTTGCAGTGAGCCGAGATCGCGCCATTGCACTCCAGCCTGGGTAACAAGAGCGAAACTCCGTCTCAAAAAAAAAAAAAGCATTTGGTAAAATTTAACATCCCTTCATGACAAAAACCATAAAACAACTGGGGATAGAAGAAACATACCTCAACACAATAAAAGCCGTATAAGACAAACCCACACCTAGTATCATACTGAATGGGAGAAAATGGAAAGCCTTTCCCTAAGATCTGGAACAAGACAAGGATGCCCACTTTCACCACTATTATTCAACACAGTACTGGAAGTTGAAGCTAGTGCAATAAGACAAGAGAAATAAAGAGCATCCAATTTAGAAAAAAAGATGTCAAATTATCCTTGTTTGCAGATGATATAACCTTATATTTGGAAAAACCTACAGACTCCAAACACACAAAAAAAGATTAGAACAGGTAAACTAATTTAATAAAGTTGAAGGATATGAAATCAACATACAAAAATCAGTAGCATTTCCATATGCCACAGCAAATAATCTGAAAAAGTAATCAAGAAAGTAATTCCACTTACAGTAACTGCAAATAAAATAAAATATCCATGAATAAATATCACAAAAGAAGTGAAAGACCTTGGTCAGGTGCAGTGGCTCACACCTTTAATCCCAGCACTTTGGGAGGCCGAGGTGGGCGGTTCACCTGAGGTCGGGAATTCGAGACCAGCCTGACCAATATGGAGAAACCCCATTTCTACCAAAAATACAAAATTAGCTGGGCATGGTGGCACATTCCTGAAATCCCAGTAACTCAGGAGGTTGAGGCAGGAGAATCGCTTGAACCTGGGAGGCAGAAGTTGTGGTGGGCCAAGATGGTGCCATTGCATTCCCACCTGGGCAAAAAGAATGAAACTCCATCTCAAAAAAAAAAAAGAAAGATCTCTTTCTTTAGAATGAAAATCATAAAATATTGATGCAAGAAATTGAAGACACACACACACACACACACACAGAAAGATATTCCATGTTCATGGACTGGAAGAATCAATACTGTTAAAATGTCCATACTACCCAAAGCAATCTACAGATTCAGTGTAATCCCTGAAATTACAATAAATACCAATAACATTCTTCACAAAAATAGAAAAAAATCATTGTAAAACTCATATGGAACCACAAAAGACGCAGAATAGCCAAAGCTAGCCTGAACAAAAAGAGCAAAACTGGAAGAATCACATTCTGTGGCTTCAAATTATACTACGGAGCTATAGCAATCAAAGCAGGATAAGGCTGGCAAAAAAACAGATACATAAACTGATGGAACAGAAAAGAGAACCCAGAAATAAATCCATACATCTAGAGTGAACTCATTTTTTACAAAAATGCCAAGAACATACATGGAGAAAAGACAGTCTTCAATAAATAAGACTGTCAATAAATAGTGCTGGGAAAACTGGATATTCCACATGCAGAAGAATGAAACTACACCCCTATCTCTCACCATATGCAAAAATCAAATAAAAATGAATTAAAGACTTAAATCTAAAACCTCAAACTTTGTAACTACTAAAAGGAAAAACTGTGGAAACTCTCTAAGACATTGGTCCAGGCAAGTAATTCTCCAGTAATACCCTATAATCACAGGTAACGAAAGCAAAAATAGATAAGTGGGATCACATCAAGCTAGGTTTCTATAAAATACTGCAATCAAAAAAGAAAAGAGACAACCCACAAAATGGGAGAAATAGGAAAAAAAATCCAATAATCTGATTAAATAATGGGCAAAAGATCTGAATAGCAATTTTTTTTTTTTTTGAAACGGATCTCACTCTGTCACCCAGGTGCAGTGGTGCAATCTCAGCTCACTGCAACCTCCACCTCCCAGGTTCAAGTGATTCTTCTGCCTCTGCCTCCTAAGTAGCTGGAATTGCAGGCATGTGTCACCATGCCCAGCTAATTTTTGTATTTTTAGTAGAGATGGTGTTTCACCATGTTGGCCAGGCTGGTCTCAAACTCCTGACGTCAAGTGATCTGCTCATTTTGGCTTCCCAAAGTGCTGGGATTACAGGCGTGAGCCCTGAATAGACATTTTTTTAAAAGGAGACACACAAATGGCAAAGAGATATATGAAAGGGTGTTCAACATCACTGATCATCAGGGAACTGCAAATCCAAACTACATCAAGATATCACCTCATTCCAGTTAAAATGGCTTTTATCTAAAAGAGAGGCAAAAAGAAATGCTGGAAAGGATGTACAGAAAAGGAAATCTTCATATGCTATTGCTGGGAATGTACATTAGTACAGTCACTATGGAGAACAGTATGGAGATTTCTTAGAAAACTAAAAATACAACTACCATATGAACCAGAAATCCCACTGCTAGATAT